AAGATCTAAAAAAAACCTGCTTCAATATCTGTAAATTATCGGCAATTTAAGCAGATAATATGAAGAACAAGTAATATCTGAAAACAATGAGTTAATCATTTTTCGGTTAACATGTTATCAAACGGTTTCCAACAATCTCAAAAATCTATAAACATTTTTGATGGCAAACTGACCTTAATCGGCTAAACCAGTAGTTTCGAGGCCTTTTTGTCTAAGCAAATCTAATTTTAGCTTTTTCACTTTCGCGCTATAATGACGTCATTAATTTAAGACTAATTTAAGCGCGAACATCTTCCGCGCACAAAGGAGCGAAAACAGGTGCGAGTTTTACGGCCGGTCGAGTTAGCTCCCCGGAGCGGATGGTGACTATGGCGGATCGGGCTATGTTGTCTTTTCCGTAATTAAGGGTTTTTATACGAGCCAGAGGGTAGTGTCCCCTTGAGCTGCGTTCGTCAACAATCCACACTAAATCCCCTGTTTTTAAAATAACGTCTTTATCGGAGTGCAACTTACTGCGCTTATTCAGCGTTGGCACATAATCTGGCAGCCAACGACTCCAAATTGCGTTGGCGTAGCTTTGCGCTCAGATATATTGTTTTCGATGGTCGAAGTGCTTCTGGAAAGAGAGAGAACGGAAGCTAGTCCCATTTCGGCCTAACAAAAAGTGATTAGGAGTTAACACCTCAAAACCATCCGGACTTACACTTACTGATGTTATAAGTCGAGCGTTCAGTGATTGTTCTACGAGACAGAAAACTTTTTCAAGGACTTCGGGAGTGAGCTTTCTACTTCCTATTATTGCGTAGAATACCCTTTTACAACACCGAACGAGACGTTTCCAAGAGCCACCGTGATGCGGGGCTGCCGGGGGTTAAATTTTCACTTAATACCTTTTTTCGCCAGCTCTGGGGGTGCTTGTCCGTTCCACGACTGAATACATTTCAAGAATTCTTTCTCGCCTCCCACAAAATTGGTGCCGTTATCTGACCAAATGACTGATGGAGTGCCGCGACGGGCAATGAATTTTTCGATTCCCATTACACACGAACTCGTGTCCATGGACGAGACAATTTCAATATGTACAGCTCTTGTGGTCATACATGTAAAAAGGAAGCACCATCGTTTATCAGAACTCCTACTGATTGAGACGTAAAAAAATCAAAAATTATCAACACTACAGTTTGTGAAGGGAGGCTGGCGATAACCAAGCCTTTAAACTGGAAGCTCTGCCATCATAGGTGTGACATATTTTGGCTTTGCGCTTCCTACATATAAGGCAGTGGACTTCAATGGACTTTAATGAAGAGCGAAGGTTCAAGATTGCGAACTCTAAGTGAAATACAGCTCGCAGGTAGTCTAAGAACTGGTGCTGATAGCAATAATGAATATCACTTACGAACAATTTCACCAGATTATGCCTTCCATCGAGGATTATTGGGTGTTTTGTGTCATATTCACTTTCAACTAGGCGACGAATTTGCCCAGTTGAACAAATGAGGAATGCAGGACCCATAAACGGTGCATATTGTGCGACACGACTAGACTTTTTGACGGTTTTATCGCAAGACAGGAGTAAATATTCCACTTCAAAAGGTTCCTTTTGGGAAATCAACAAAAAAGTCGTTGTTTGGCGGTTTCTAACTCAACCGGATCGGTTATTTCCTTGACTTTAGTGCGGTAGCGCCGGTGTTTCGGACTCAGTCTGAGCATGAAGGCAACCACTCGCTGGAGTTTACGAAACGAGCTGAATTCTTCCCATGCAAATAAAATGGGTTGTTTTTGTTTTTGTGCAACTTTTGAAAAATTAGAGGCCTGCTCAAAACCTTCATTAAAGTCACAAGCGGGACCAGCCAGGCGAATTTTTTTAAGTACTTTTATGCTTGGCTTGAAAAGCCACTCGCCACTTTTCAGCAGACTTGGCCCGTTCACCCAGCTGCTTGTTTTTAAGGACTCCGCTGAGATTCCTCTGGTTCCCGTATCAGCAGGGTTGTCTCCACTTAAGACGTGAAACCACTGGTCTACGCTAGTACTTTCCAGAATCTCTCCAATCCCGTTTGCCACGAACGTGGGTTGTCTACTACCTGAATTTAACCACTGGAGCACAGTGGTGCTGTCAGTCCACATGAATGTGTTTGACCCAGGAATGGTTAGAGTTTTGAAAACATCTTTTTTCAAGTGGGTAGCGAGTAACGCGGCCTGCAGTTCAAGCTTCGGGATGGAGAGCGCTTTCATGGGCGCGACTCTTGCTTTTCCAAAGACCAAGGCAACTTGTGTTTCGAGTGAAGTTTTCACACGAGCGCGAAGAAAAGCTACAGCACAAAAAACTTCTTCTGAGCTGTCACCGAACATGTGTAACTCAACCCAAACAACTGGTGCGGAGAAGTAGCTGCGCTTTATACTCATTTTTCCTAAAGATGGCAAAACAGAGTGCCAGGCAAGGAATTTTGTCTTGATATCAACGGGTAGCTCATCATCCCAATGTTGCCCACGAATGCGCCAGATTTCTTTCAACAATAATCGCGCTCTAACGGTATAGGGCGCTACGAGACCTATGGGGTCGAAAAGGGAAGAAACGAAACTTAACACTTTTTGCTGTGTTATCGAATTTTTAAGTTCACGGTTGACACCACGGCTTACGACCAAAGTGTCGTCGATATGGTCCTACTTCAGACCAAGAACATGGGAAGATTTATCCCCACAAGTTACAATATTTTTACTTTCCTTTTGCGGCGCGCTTTGGGGCGGGCTTAATAGCTGCTGTTACATCTGGATTAAAAAATGACGATGTATTGTTTTCGCAAAAAGCAGCGTTATTTGAAATAGACAACGACTGCGTTTCGTGCTCAGGATTAGTGGATACAGCGTGCTTGATTCCATTGCCATCGCTGAAGGAGACGGTGGATTGATACGGATAATTACAGTTTGCGGAACCCCTTACATTTGCGGATTCTATTTACAACTTTCGCGGATTCCATTTACATTTGCGGATTTCAATTACATTTTGCCGGGTTTTCTTACATTTGCTGAATCCAAAACAGCTATATGCGACAAAACAAATGTGCCGACAAAATTAACGTTACAGGTATTTGTACGCGGAAGCCACGGAAGTTCCGCTTACTTTTTGAAATATGTTTGTTAATTAGTTTCTGGAATCCAGGAACATATAGACACAAAATTGTGCGCCTATCCTGTGCACAGTTTGGCCTCGTAATAAATTTGCACCGTTTTTTTTTCAGTGTTGTGTTGACAATCTTGTGCTTTGTTCCTGCTTTGATTTTGATATGCGCTCTCTTCAGTGTTGTGTTGACAATCTTGTGTTGTGTTCCTGCAATCTTGTGTTTTGATTTGCGCCCTCTTTATTTTTGTCGGTCAATGAATAATTGATTTTTTTTATGCAACAAATTTTTTTTTTCGTAATTTGCGATTAATTTTGAAATGGTTTGAGCATTTCAAACAGCAAAACATTCAAAAGAACCAAGATCATTTGTTATCTAATTACCCATTCCTTTTAAGCTCTTACCTCTTTCTCAAAAACTTACAGAGGTCACGTACATTTTTGCATGTTGTGCTAACAAGGATTTTCGCTATGACTGTTCATTTCTTGCAGTTTTGGTTAAAGAAATCATTTTGAGAGATCTCAATAGACAGACCCAAAGGTTTTAATCATATTTATGCTGAAATTTTTTGTCGTTATGAGAAGCATTATCAAGATCGAGTTTTAAAAATGCGGTCTTCAAAAGTAATTGCCAGAGTGAGAGCCAACTCATCAATTTTTCTGCACGTTCAATTTACCTGAGAAATAAACTTATTAGGCAAGTTTTTCTGAACGTTCAAAAATTGTTTTAAAATTTTTCATCACCAGTTGAAGTACAGTGCTGATTTGAATTACCATGGAGTTTACAAAACTTCGAGGATTTTTGACAAATCAGTAAAAAAACCAATCAAAGTGTAAAACAGTTACCAGATAACCAGCCGAAAACCGGTAAATGTTGCAATACTTACGTAACCATTAAGTAACAGATGCGTAATTAGACTTATTTTATGCCAGTTTGATTATTGTAAGAGAGGATTTTTGGTGGGTTTATTTACTCTGCGCGTTTTTCGTTCTTTTCGAAAAAAGTGAGAAAAACATATGCCTGAAGTTTTTTATTCCGACCAATTTTTCAAAAGATGTTGACAACCTGCGGGGTCAGCATGACTTCAATCCGCAATTTATTCAAGCACTCAAAATTGTTCCATATTGAAACGGAGACACGCTTAATCAGGGGCGGCCCCCTGCCGACCCAAAGGGTCCCCCTTTATACTATTTTGTTATATCCATTTTTGGCGGACTGACCCTAAAAGTTTTTAAAGGCACCTTTGGTGCGAACATATATTAATTTTGAGGGTGGAGCGCACGCCGAAAAAAAAACGGGATTTTGTCGTCAAAATCTTCCAAAAAGTGCTTAAAAATGACTTTTTTGGCCTTTTTTTCAAAATTTTATCGACTAAATAATCAAATTTGTTTGACTCATTTTTTAGCTTTTCTATTTGATACTGGCCTTGTAAAGTTGTATTTCATTAAAATTTTGTTTAAAAAAATTTTTCCGATGCCAGTTAAGGGGCAGTCGGAACACTCGGGACTTCCTTGATTGTCAGCAGTCTGGTTTATACTTCGTCTGGTTTTTCAACTCTCCATTTTGTTACCTCAAAAAATGACAGGGTAGCTTTTGCCTAATTTGTGAACAAAACAGCCGATCTAAAACCACACTTTATGTCTATTGTCAACCTAATTTGAGAAAAATTGTTTCAATTTTTCCAGTTTTTTTTTTTTTCGTTTTTTTTGGATAATTTAAATCGGCGCGACTGAAAGTGTAAAATCAGTAAACTCTTTCTGATTTTAATTTGATATCTCGATTTCCGTGAAAAAAAAAATCGAAATCTAAAGTTCTTAGTCTGCGCGTGTAGCCAAAATAACAAATTGTTAATTTCAAATGTTATAAATAAAAATAAAGAAGTTTTTAAGCCGTCAAGACGATTTTTAGCTGCTTCTCCCGACCTTCAAGATTTAAGTCAAACTTTCTTTCCTTTATTGGGCCAATTTCTTCATCTGTAAATTTCAGAGGCGGCTTGTAGACGAAGATGCCGTGTAATCTATCCTCACGAGCGTCAAATTTCCTCGAATACACTTCGATGACGATGATGACAATTAAGACTATGGCAAAATACAAGGATGATAGATGGGTGAACGATCTTCATATTTTATGCAAGTGACTAAGAAAAATATTTGGTCCATCTATTGAAACATTCTTGTTTTGGGTGGTGGGATGTTTTTTACCTTTTTGTGAGTTAGTTTTTCACTTTTGACCAAATCGCTATGATTATCATTTCGTTTTGTTGCAAAACTTGCATGCTCTTTTGTGATTATTATGATCCCCCAGCTAATTGAAGGCAACTCAAGACCTAATTGTTAAATAAGTTAAAACCAGGGGCTACGATTTTCTGGAGGGGGGGGGTGGTTTGGCTTAAAAAAATGCGTTTTTCGGCGCGTGCTCCCTCCCTCAAAAATCAAAAATTAGTTTACATTTTCGCCCAAGGAGCCATTAGAAAACCTTCAGGCTTTTCTAAAGTCAGCCAAAAATGGATATCTGAAAATAATACTAAAGGGGGAATCTTTGGGTCGGCAGGGGATCAAATCCCTGAGGGGAGGAGAGTGTCTTCCCTGAATCCGCCCCTGTATCAAACCATAAACAACTATTTTCAAACTACGGGCTAAGTGCTGTAGTTTTCGTAAGAGAAAATCTAAACTCGATTTGGAAACCTAAATGCGAAGCAATTTTATATGTTTGGTCGATGAAACATATCTGGCGTGTTTTATACATGCACCTATCGCGACAGTCACTCCTATGGAGAGAAGTGCAGCTGCGACCAGTTGAGATCGGACCACTTTGCAGATGCTGTTGGGGGATCCAGGACTGTCGTAACAGAGGGGACCCAGCACAAGTCCGAACAGCCCTATCACTATTATTCCTAAAACGAATAGCATAAGTAAAATATATCGATCTGTTTGTTACTTATATATATATGTCCTATAGAGCACTGTCGGAAATTACTTAAATTTCGGTTGAGACGGTCGAAACACACGGACGCCACAGAAAAACGGCGGCACGACCCAAATAATGTGTCTCAACAAAAAGTCTATAGGGCACAGTTTCGCTCAGAACGCCAGAAACAACGTAGGTATGTCTGTGAGTACGGAAATTGATGATGTTTTGCTTACTCGCAGACCTCAGACCGGTAAGCACCAATTTTTTTTATATAGCTGGATCAAAAAATGGAAATTTTTGTTTCGAAGAAGTCATTTGGTCAGACGTGGTTAAAGTATCTGCTTTCAGGGTGAGTCAACCTTTCTCAAACCAGAAATGTCACCAGTGGTTATTTGTAAAGAGCTGAAAAGCTATTTCGGCGGCTCTGTTCCCACTGGATGGTATTGATCTTAACCTAAATGGTCAAAATTTTTCTTATTTGTAAATGCTACTATTAGAAAAACTTCGATTTAATTTATTAGTGAGGTAAATTTCAAATTCATTTTATTATAACTTGAATAACCCAAATAAAGATGTTTTTTAAACAACTTGTCAGCAAGCCATATGTTTCAAATCTTACAATGTTGCTCCCCTGATAACCTATAACCTACAATTTTCCAGTATAACCTATCAATGGGTAAAAATTTCATTATTTTTACCTATTAACCAGTAAATGTCCGAATGCTCTGAGATGCACTGCCGAGCATGAGAATAAAAGATCTTCTAAAAACAAAAATTTTCGACTTCAGTTAAAATTTTTATAACAAAAAGTTCAAGCTTTTTAAAATGAATAAAATTTATTAAAACTGGCGCTACTAAAATGATAATAGTTATCATGAGATGCGATTTAAAACAGAAAATGATGTGCTAGCAGCTCAAAAATATTTTGATCTTTTTGGTTTTGGTGGTCCAATGATGCTAGCAAATGAGATTTTAGCAGGCAAGAAAGTTGTTAGTTGTTTCGATATTCTCCATTACGAGGCCAAACTGTGCACTGACTGGGCGCATTTTTTAGATGTGTAAGTCAGTGGCAGTGAAAAATCTCCAAAAATGTTAAAAAGTTTGTCGGCACAATATAAAGAAAAACAATATCAAAGAAAGGTCGAAGGGAGTGGCCTTGTAGCTGAATTGATATACAGTTTGGCCTCGTCATTTTGGGTGTCAGCGATCGAATAAATATCAATTGTATGGGTCGACAGAAAGATTTTGGGAATCAAAAAATTTTCGTTCTCAAGTCTGGTCGATTTTGGCGGACTTTGGTCGATCCTGATCTTGACGTTTTCCTGATTCTTATCGACCTTGTATCTAAGTTTTCAGAATGATTCTCTTCTCTGAACAGATTCAAGGGTTTTACATCTAAATTTTGAACTGATTTGACTGGTATAGGTTTTTCTTCTAATTGTTTTCTATTTTTTTCTATGATACGAATTGAAATTTTTTACACTAAAAGTAAAGCTCAGAGTTTAAGATTGAGAAATTCATTTAATTTGCAATTTTTTACCCGTGGCTGAAACTTTTCATTTAATTGGAAAGGGCTTCACAACTTTTTTATTCACTCGGGAGGGGTTTTTACAAAGTTTTATCAGTTTTTTGTTTCATAGTTGAGCAATGTTTTTTTAGTTTGTCGAGTCATTTTTTACACTGTAGTTTTTGTGACAAGATATGGTAGGCTCTGCTGGCGTTTGTTTATTATTTTGAATCTTGAAGTCAACAATTTGTCACCCTGAGAGTCGGTTTGACCGTATAGTTTCAATAAACTGTGTATATATATACAAAATACAAATCGATATGAACGATCAAAGAAAATGAAAGAAGAAAAGAAAATCTAAGAAAGCATCCTTGTTGCGGAATCCGGTTACAATTCACAAAATGCATTCACAAAATTGAAAATTATCTGCCACAAATAATCGTCGGAGTGAGTTGAGTGATATATCATATTAAAACCATTTCAGTCGTAATTCAAACCATGCTAAAAAACCAAAAACTATTCCCTGTGTCAAGAAAAACTGGAATAAAATTTTTGTTTTTTGTCTAATTTCGAAAAATTTTTCCTGTGTCAAAAAAAACTGGTTTTGAAATTTATGATTTTTCGTCCAATTTCGAGCGAGTAAAGCGAGCGAGCAGGCTTACAATAGCTTATTTCAATAGCTTAAAAGCTTACAATAGCTTAATTTATGCCGTAAAAACATCGTTTCTCTCGAGGTAAATTTTTTTGAGTATTTTAGCGCCTTTTTGGAATCAAAAACTTCGAAAATTCAAAGAAGTGCAAACAAAAACACAAAAAATTTTTTTTTGTTATCCAGTCATTTTTCTCCAAAATTGTTTTACAAATTGCTTATATTTTACTTTGACTGACGAGTACTCTTAAGCTCTAGTGTTTCTTTCAGATCCTTTTATCACACCGCACAGAAAAAATTACACTCATTTGAAAAAAAAACTGTTGCTTTATAAAGACTATGGTTGGATCTTTCTGTGAAACTTGCACAGTAACCGGCTATCTTCTGTTAAGTCTTGGGAACGAAAGTATAGGAACTGAAGAACAAAAAACTCAATTCATTCAATAATTATAAGAAAGCGAGCCAATGGATACTCATTTGTTGCAATACAAACGAACAGGAAAGCAGATATTGATATAGAGCTGATTTGTTCAACAATTTACACCGTGTTTTGGAGTCGTCATGTCATGTTAATGCTGTGTAAGATAAATATTAACAGATCTATGTAAGTGGCGACTCACTTGTGAATGCAACTGCCGCGCAACTCAGATAACCTATACATCAGATGAAACTGTTAACTTTTTCTGACGCCCGTAGTTTTTCTTCAAAATTTCTCAATCCTTTTTAAAATTATGATAAAAGTTTTGGTCAACAACAATTTTTAAGTCAAAAACAGGGTCAGTTGAGATTTTTCATAATTATAATCAGAAAAATAGCTGAGAGTTTCTTATCACAGCAAAAGCTAAAATATAAAACAATCAGGATTCATACATGCTGTCCTACAAAAATATAGCCGATTTAGATCTAATCGGTTGTATCAATCGTGTGAAACTCAGGGAAAAATTTCGTTTAAATATTATTCAAATGTGATAAGGAACTAATTTCAAAAACATGGAAATTTTGTAAAAAAAGAACAATTTTTTTAATTTCATATCGCTTATCAAAAACGGGCTGACTAAAATTTTGAGAAAAGGGTCAAAGCGAAACAAAATATTACGCAATTTTTATATTTTCTCCAGCTGGCTGAAAAAAAACCAGCAAATACATTAAATGGTTTTTGCATAATTATTCCGACTTTTAAAGAAAACATAATATTTATGCTTGGTCTGTTTTTTTTTATTATTCAGCCGTCAATTTTCGGCTATCTAAAAAATAGTTGTTAACAAAAAATTGTTTATATCCACACCGTTGAAGATATTGACTCCCTAAAATCAACCTAAAAATATTTACCTTCGACCTTATTTTGCAAAGTTATGGGATATTGAACAAAGCAAACTTAGCTATGCCCTGGAAAAATGTTTGTGTTCTTTGAAGATTTTATGCATAATGCTAAAAATGTAACGCGAACTAACAGACCCGCAAAATAAAATTGTTCCTAGTTGAATTGAGACTAGCTAATCGGTCGTATTATATTCGTACGGCTGAAATTTTCTCACTTCATGCTTTAGATGTTGTCCAAAATTTACAGTTTTTCAGAAATTTCGTTTCCAGCAGATTCAATATGGATTAATGGGCAGTCGAAACATTCAGGGCTTTGCCCTGATATATGAGAAGTCTTGTTTTAAGCTTAAAGCGGAATTCCAAGAAATATATTTTTCAAGAAGACAGAAACAATTTTTAAACAGATAGCTTAATAAAAAGTCGACTTTTATCTGGACTGCAAATAATTTTTGCAAAATCAACGTTTATCTGGATTGCATGATGCTCAGATGAAAGAAAAAAATTCAAACGCAGATTGTTTTTTGAAATGTCATTTATATGGAATGCATAAAAAACACACGACAGAGCAAAAAAAGTCTGAAAATTACAATTTTCATGAAAAAAATTTAAAGACAAGTCTCCCTAAAGTGTGTATCTAAATTAAACTATGGTGCGAATATTTTTGAATAATCAAAAATTGGTTCTTAATTTTTTTTCTAAAGTGGATAAAATAATTGCTCGGACTTTTGAAGAAAATGACGGAAAATTTATGAATTTTTGACTGCTCTGCAACTTTTTAACTGGTTTTCCTGACGTCAAACTTATAAATAGTTTTCATCTGCTTGCTATAATTTTTTGTAAAGTTATTTTGATTACTATTTTTGAAAAAAGTAACAGAATATTTGTGCTCGTGTTTTTCCCCGGGCAAACTTTGACTTTTAAGTTGCTGACGGAGTTTCTGTTGACGGAGTAGTTGTTGACGGAATTTTTTGAATCGTTCAAAAGATATCATTGACTTGAACTCAAATTTAGAAAAAAAATATATCACCTGTGATCATATTTAGTAAATTTATGGGGGTTTAAAAATTGGCAATTCGGCTAATTTGGGACAATTAACGAGCGATATATTTCGCGCTATTAACGCGTAAGCGGAGATTTAATACGTCTTAAAAAATAGTTCCAAATTGGATTGAGACATGCTCTTAGGTCTTTTTAGTAAACTACTTTAAAAAACGACTTTAAAAAAATTCTATCAATTATTTTGATTTAGACTCCCCCATAGAAACAAGCAGGCTTCGCCCTGAAACAAGCAGTCTTGTTGGGTTTGAAAACTGTTGATATGGCCAACTTTGAATATTTAAAGCACAATTGGTTGTGTCTTTATAACGCACATAAGCGGCAAATTGACATAGCTTGTAGGGAATTGACATAGCGTGCATTTCACATAGTGTGTAGAGCATAAACAGCAAGGTCAAAATGAAGTTAAAATTTTTTATCAATTTTTTGAAGTTAAAAACTTTTTCTCCAG